CCCGCCACGCCCCCAACCCCTTCATAGCCCCGCCCCCTCTGTTCCCCCACCACGCCCCAATCCCTTCCTAGCCCCGCCCCCTCTGTTCCCCCGCCACGCCCCCAACCCCTTCATAGCCCCGCCCCCTCTGTTCCCCAGCCCCGCCCCAACCCCTTCCTAGCCCCACCCCCTTTGTTCCCCAGCCCCTCATTCCCCCCAGTCTCACCCAGCCCCTCGCACTGGGCTGTCCGGCTCCGTGAGCACCGTGCCAAAGCTGCCACGTGCCATGTGGTGATGTGGTTCCTTGTGGTTCCCCCCCGTCCCTGCAGCGCAGTGGGGCACGTGCTCGGCGCGAGCTGGGCTCGCCCCCCAGGCGAGGGGCCCATTCTGCACTCCCCTCCCATGCCCCCTGGCCCTGGCTTCAGCGCGACCATGTGACCTCATGCCCCAGCCACCGCCAGGCACTCAAGGGCAGGATTGAGCGGGATGGGCCAGCCCAGCGACCCTATTCTTCACACCCCAGAACACACCAAGGAGATCCCAGCCCGGGGCGCTGGTTTTCTGGGCATAGGAAGCACATTCACCCCAGGCAATGAAGCAGCCTGTGGTGCTTTGCAATCATGCCATGGCTGAGTTAGGAACATTGGTGATGGTGTCTGGAGGGAATCCAGTCCTCCCTCATCTACTGGAAAGGTGGTGGTGGTGATGTGGCACCTTGGAGCCAACAGGCATGTTGTGACATTTTGGGGTTCACCCAGACATGTAAAGGGCACTGTCAGCACCTGCCCTGTAACCTTGGGGTGCCTTAATGCAGCTATGGCTCAGATCCCAGTAGCCAGCCCACAAGGACAAGGTCTCACCCCGACTTCCAGCAGCCTCGTTACTCCTTGTAGGGTAACACCAACAGCCCTTAATCCCAGGTCTCCCCAAATCTGACCTTCCAAGTTCTTAAATGCCAGACCCTCAGACTTTTCCCCTCTGGTTCATCATCCCTGAAGGTGTGAAACCAGCCCCCAGATATCAGTTTACTTTGGTACACACACCCTAACAGTTTGCACAACAGAGACCTGCTTGGGGGTAAAAAATAAACAAAAAGTTCATTTAATAGAATAACCACAAACTCAATGACAAAATAGTAAGGGAAGCAAACACGTACAAGTTATACAGCAAATAAACATGAAGAGGAAACTTCAGGCTTTACGCTTCCATTGTAGATAAAATCCCTTTTCTCATACAAGCTACCTATTGCCTTTGAAGGATCCCAGCATACCCCCTAACTATATAGAGGATCCACCATTTAACAGAGAGCATCCCGCCTACAGCCTGTCCCTCAGTTTCTGGAAGACTTCAGTTTCAAGTCTTCCTTTCCCTTCCCCCATTTTTTTGTCTCTCCTGGCACCGTGACTCATGGTTAAGGCTACATTTTAGTCACGGGTATTTTTAGTAAAAGTCATGGACAGGTCACAGGCAGTAAACAAAAATTCACGGCCCATAACCTGTCCATGACTTGTACTATATACCCCTGACTAAAACTTGGGCCAAGGGGCTGCGGGTGCTCTGCTGGGGTGGTCCAGGGGCACTGCGGGTGCTGGGGGGAGGCAGGTGGTGGCACACAACCCAGGACCACTGCTGATACTGGGGGGGGGGGGGGGGGGGCCGGCACACGGCCTGGCACTCCCGCTGGTCCTAGGGGGGGGCTGGGACTGCTGATGGGGGGGAGGGTTGGCGGGGCTGGCAGGCTCTCTACCCAGCTCCACGCAGCTCCCCAGAAGCAGCCAGCATGCCCCGGCAGCTCCTAGGGGGAGCAAAGGCATGGGGGGCTCCACACAGTGCCCCCGCCACAAGCGCAGGTTCCACAGCTCCCATTGGCCGGGAACTGCAGCCAATGGGAGCTGCAGGGGCAGTACCTGCAGGCAGGGGCAGCACACAGAGCTCCCTGGCCCCTCCGCCTAGGAGCTGCAGGGACATGATGGCCGCTTCTGGGGAGCCCCCCTGCAGAGGTAAGCAACGCCCTGCACCCCACTCCCCTGCCCCAGCCCACACCCAAACTGCTGCTGGCCCAGGGCTGCCCGAGCTGTTTGGGCAGCCCCGGAGCCAGCCACACCGGCCGCTACAGAGGTCACAGAAAGTCATGGAATCCGTGACAGACATGCAGCCTTACTCATGGTTATTCAGAATGGAAGAAACTCTAGCCGGGATGTCTTAATGTCTTTCCATTAACTTTAATGACCCACCATTTCCTGGGATAGGCAACAGATGGGTACCCGAAGTCAGGCCACATCTACACCAGCAACATAAGTTTTGCCGGCGTAAGCGCTCATGTGCACAGCACTATGGCAGCAGGAGACACTCTCCCGCCGACAGAGCTACCACCGCTCATTGAGCTGGTTTTATGACGTTGATGGAAGAGCTCTCCCCCATCGGCATAACGCAGCTACACGAGTGCTCTTACAGAAGCCCAGCTGTATCGGTACAGCTGGGCCACTGTACGTTTGTAAGTGTAGACTTGGGAGATGCTCCTCCCAGCCTTACTGCTCTGCTGTGAAGTGGAGCTGAAGTTTACGAGCATAGTTTTCTATATACACAGATATATAAATGAACAACCAATCTGTATACATATCTCATAATGACCATCAAGTTCAGAGAATAACCTGCTTTCATAAACAACCTTCCCTGATACACTTTTATAGTACAGTGTGCAATCAGTTGGTTCAACTGCTCATGTTTGGGGTTTAAACCTTCTGTTCTCCCCATGGGGTGTCTGGATCCTGACTGTCACACATGTACCAGGAAAAGATGGAATGGTCCAGCCCTTCTCACCCAACCAAGCAATGCTGCAGGTGTTCATCTTGAGATAACAGACCTACAGGATATGGGGAGAAACACTGCAAGGGGAAACTGGTGAAGGAAAGCCCTTGACCTGCACATTCAATAACTAGCCTGCCTAGGGTCTGGAATTTCAGGGCAGCAGCTGTTGCAGTTTTAGTACGAGTCAAGATAAATTTTGTTTTTACAAAGCAGGTGTCAGCACTTCTAGAGACTTGGAGCTAAATTCTGCTCTCAGATCTGCATGCCCAAGTCCCAGGTAGGCCACTGGAGTTAACTGGTGTGTCTAAGGGCGGAATGCTGAATGAACTGTGGTGTGTCAGAGGCCCAAGGAAAGATTAATCTGCTCTCAGTAGTTGCTAGGAAAGCATCCTGCTCCGGATCACTGATTAGCCAATCAGTTTATTCTAATGATGGTTTCCATTGGTCAAGTGTGCGTCATTCAATGTCATGCAAGGGACAGCTGGGTGCAGGTGAATATGCCTGCTGGTGCAACTGAATTTAGTGCTGCATAAAAAACAGCTATTTTTAAATTCCTCTGTGGGCTTTTCTTAACAATTAACCTAACGCACCATGTGCAGCAGGAGCAAGCAAAATACAAGATAGAGCTCCAACTGTCAACCTATTCGGGCCATTGGATCTGCCAGTATCCTCTGGACTAGTCCTCCTCAGCAGCTAGCTACAGCACTGTACTGTAATGACACCCTCACTATAGGCTTTGTATTAAAAAAAGAGATTAAAAATATCTAAATAGGAATAGAAATCTTCTCAGAATTCAAAAAAATAAATAACTCAAAACAGCACGTGTGTTTTTTAAACCTTCCTCTGCCATGGGGAAAGCCCAACCTACCTGCACTGCATTGTGCAGGAGACTCACAAGTGAAACTGATTTTTGAAACAGACCCAAAGGAAAGCTCTGCATACATAGGTGCTGGAACTAGGGGTGCTGCAGCACCCCCTGGCTTGAAGTGGTTTCCATGATACACAGGGTTTACAGTTGGGTTCAATGACTCTCAGCTCCCCCACTACACAAACTGTTCCATCACCCTGTCTGCATCGCTCGAAAGCTTGTCTCGTTCGCCCCTAGAAGTAGGTCTTGTCTCTCTCTATAGAAACATCATCAGATAGAAATATTTCATCTAATCTCACTGATCAAGCTGCATGCAATTTTAAAAAGTGATGAAAAGCACACTCAGTGAATAAAGTGCTTCTCCTATGAGTAAGTGGAGAGGCTATTAGTGACATGGGAAAGCAACTTACAAAAAACCCAGCAACCACCATACAGCATATTTGTCTTGGGCCCAAATTAAAGTCAATGAGAGCTTTGCCACTGACTTTAATAGAAGCAGGTCCATTGATGGCATCCTTTAAACACACTATTAGTACCTCACAGCTGTATATCTGAATAGTTTACTGATTCTGTACCCAGTTACATAATGAATCCAAGGCTGCTTAATCAAGAGCCATAACAGCAATGAAATAGGAGGAATGCAGTTCAAGGCCAAAACAGTCAGCAGATGTACTGGCAAGAGATATAACATTCCAACCCCCCTGCTTTACATTATACACAGAAACTAAGGAACAGTACGGTGCTAATGACATTCATGAAACAGACATCCTATTGGACAGGTGACAAAGGAACAGCCCAGTGCTAATGACACTCATGACACTCCGGTGACAAAGGACCAGGCAAGTCATCACATGCTGTATGTACCTACGCACCTGGGTTTGAAAATTCTGGCCCAAATTAGGTACCTAAAGCCATATTTAAGCAACTGATTTCCAAAGATGTTGTGCGCATGCAGCTCCCACTGACCAAACTGGTAGTGGTGGCAGCTCAATTCTCCGGAAAAAAAGGACGACGGTTTACGTGTCGAAATGTGACTGTAGGTTCCCATGTGGAAATGCTGGCCCTACTTTCTGTACTTTGGGAGTGGGGAATGCTGGAACTGTACAACTCAAGCTGTTGGGCAGTGCATCTCCGTCACCGCTCCGGTTAACTCTGTGAAGAACAGGTCCATATTCAGCAGAAATTATAGACAAGGGGGAATTCACCCTAGAGCAGAGGGCCCAGGAAAACCATACAGGTTTGAATGGGACCTAAGTCATGTGTTTGGCATTGGGCTGAATATAAACAACAACACACGTTGCCTTTGATTCATTAGCTGAACAGGCACAATGCCTTGGGGAGAGGGAAACTGCTATTCAAACAGTACATTGCGCAGAAAAGAAAATGGACATGAAAAGTGTTAGTCACAGGCAGGTTTTGGTAAAGTCTGCTTTAAATTAAGCGCAAGTGATCTAGCCTTCAGCATGGGGAGAGTTTGTGATGAGCAGGTTACAGAGCAGTCCCATGCCAATCCACAGCCCTGCAGGTTCAGTAACACACACGCTGCATTTTCACAGCTGACTTTCAGCACAGCTCAGCCTTGCAATGTAACTGCTGAAGCAGGAAGAGACTCTGGAGCTCCACCGACACAGGTCGTCCCATCAGCTCCCGCTAGGTGGGCTGGGGACTTCGCGTCTCCTGCTTCATTTCAGAAGGTGACTCAGCTGGTCCTGCAGATTTGATGAATGCTCGATGCTGGGGACCAGACAAAAGGAAGTGTTCAAAGTCAGATCAGCTCCCCAAATCTCTGTGTTTTGGTTGCTAAATAGATGCACATGCCAGTACCACTTGCGCGTGAGGGAACAGAACTGCTCTGTTAGAGAAGTTAGGAGGGGAAAATACCTTGTGAATCAGACAAGACCCATGAGAATGAGGATTAGAAAACATGCCTTATAGTTATAGTTTCAAAGAGCTTAATCGGTTTAGCTTAACAAGGAGAAGGTTAAGGGGTGACTTGATCACCATCTATAAGTGTCCACATGGGGAACAAATATTTAATAATGGGCTCTTCAATCTAGCAGAGGAGGGTATAATGTGATCCAACAGCTGGAAGTTGAAGCTAGACAAATTTAGACTGGAAATAAGACTTAAATTTCTAACAGCGAAAGTAATTAACCATTGGAACAATTTACCAAGGGTCGTGGTGGATTCTCCATCCCTGGCAATTTTTAAAATCAAGATGGGATGTTTTTCTGCTCTCGGAATTATTTTGGGGAAGTTCTGTGGCCTGTGTTATACAGGAGGTCAGACTGGATGATCAAATTGGTCCCTTCTAGCCTTAGAATCTATGAATCATCCAACCCATATCCCATGCCATCACAAAGGCGAGTTGTCTGCAAAGCATGAGACTGGACCAAAGCCAAAAGAACTCAGCACATCTACAAGCACAGAGCAAAGCTTTCCTTTTGCTCAGAAACCATCACAGATCAGAAAGAGTCTGGTGAGTGAGGAACGGTTACAAAGATCCCAAGTGACCTGCATAGTCTACTTAAACCCTGCAGAGAGGCTGAATGTCAGACGACAGGGGGACTAAACTGAGCCCTGATACAAGTGGGCATAATGCACCCAGGAGGCAACGAGGGCTCCATCCACTTAAGCCAGGGCTACACTGGACCCCGAGCGTGGAATAAAGAGCAATCAGGATCTGGCTTAGGATGCCTAGTGCATTTCATTTGGAAGGATCACAAAGGACTTCACAAACCAAATGACTAGTTGCAGAGAGAATGAGTAGGGTTGGTGGCAATTTACGTTTCTTCATAACAAGTTTTAAAAGAAAAATGTTGTTTCATTCAGAATTTCAGGATTTTTTTTTTTCATTTTTGCAATGAAAAAATTCAAAACAAAAAGTACATTTCCATTTCAAAATGTCCCTTGCATTTCCCCCCCTTTCTCCCCTCACACTGCTGCTAAGATACCATGGTGATGGGAGCTTGAGATAGGAACTTGGCCAGGATACTAGGATGAACACCCGACTCCTGCAAAAAGCGCAATGGAATCTTTAGTGATCATGAGCAATCAGTGCCTTGGTGTTCTATCTCATCCATATCTCCACTAACAGTACAGCATCCCCGAGAGAGGAAAGATCACCCCCTACTGAGTCATCAACATGACTTCATGCAGCACCCTGAGTCTTCCTTGGAGGTTCCTTATCCAAGCAATGACCTGGTGTGACACCGCTAAATTTATGAGCAGATTGTTCCCTTCCTTGTACCGTGGGGCCACATCCAGCTTCCTCTGGAGAAAAGAAAACCTCACGCCATTGCTAGGACATGCTGCCTTCATGTCATTGCAGATTTACTTGCTGAAAGTAGAAAACCCAGCCAGGCATCATGCAAACTATGAGAGAGAATCACCACGGACTATCTGCTGAGAGTTAGCAAGAGAGGTGTAAGCGTAATAAATCGGCCAATAAAACAGGCTATACTCACTTCTTCTGAATAGCTTCTTGTCTAGATGAGGAAAGAAGAGAAGAGAAAAGGTATTGTTGGAAAAAATAGCAACAGGGCTAATTATGTCCTGGTAAAAGGGGCTCGACTGACAGCTCCGAAAACTGAAACCATCAATTTGTCTTTAGAACAGGTCCAGCGTGGGCAGCAGCAGGGCACCAGGTCTCAACTCTGACCTGGAGGACAACCTCTTCAGGTGAGAGGGGAGTCCTGTCTCCATGACCTATTCAGTCCTCAGCTGATTGTTAATGGGGGTGCGTGTGTGTCTGTGTGTGTGGGGGGTGTGTGCGGACACCCTCACCCACTAGGAACTTGATGGAGACTCATCAATTCAAGTCTCACACCCACCAAACAGTCATCACATGGTGATGACTACAGGTGACTAGCGTCCTGGACAGAATTCAAACTGGTAGCCTAGAGCTGGAAAGCATCGTGTTGAATATGGAGATTTTTTGCTGGCAGTTGTATGCTTTATCCAGTGTATCCCATGTGACTAGTTCAAGGGACAATGGCTCATGTAGTTTAACACCGAAAGGGACGCTGCAATGTGTTTTATCTGAACGGTGTCCCTTTAACAAACTATAGGCCAGCATGGTGAGCTGACGATAGAGGATTCCAAACCATGGCCTGCTCAGTCCCAGCAGAGTGGGGGACAGGAGCCCTCCCTCCTGCTGGAATGCCCCATTTTGGCCAGCGCTCAGACCAGGCTCCATGCAAAGCCACCACAATGTGGGGCCTTTAAGGGGAATGAAAGGGGTTTCTAGGAGATCAGCCCCACAAAACCCAGAGTCCCCATTGCCCCCTACTTACTGGTACTGGAGATGAGTGGTTATGATTGCCATCTTCCTTAGACTCTGCAAAGCACCAAATGAGGAATTACTGTCCTGAGCATCTCAGCAGAATTAGTATGAGCTGTTCTAGAATGATGACAACTCTACATATCCCTGCAGCAGGTTTTCCCCCCTCCCCGCCCCGCCATTGCAACCCAATGGAGCTTATAGGTTGCAAAGGAAGAGTTCACCTCACTCACCCTGAAACACAGCTACCTCGGGGGAGCTCTTGAACGACTATCACAAACAACCCCGAAAAGACCATTTCTCATCTGTTCTTTTCAGGCTCTTATGCTGCGCTCCTCCCCGCAGCACCTGAACACTTTCCACTAGTGCATTAAGTGATGGGACTGACATCTCTCGTGTGTGGTTTGTTCTCTCATTCTCTCTCCAGGATGCAGGGAAGGGTCGTCGTTTGGTAGGATTTTAAAAAATACAAACACACGTTGCTCTATGTTTCCGTTAGAAGAGGCAAGGTCAAAGAAAGGCGCCTTGCACTTGGATTGGGCTCCTCAGCCTGACCCCTTGCATTCAGCCCTGTTAAACACCACATCATTCCTACTAACGTTGTATCCAACCTGCTCTCAAATCTCTGCCCTGCTAGTGCCTTGACCAGCTCCCTTGTGAGTCTAATCCACTGCCCAGAGCCTTGTGTTGTTCAGAACTAAACATCTCCTGCATTAGCTTCATGCCACTGCTTCTTGCCTGGTCATTTTGACCTTGCAAGGACAAGCTCACTGATCCTGGAATACTACTGACTGGAGCTGCCTCCCCTGAAAGCAAATATTCTCCCATAGGAATGTGAGAGAGTAAACAGCAATGGGGACATTTCTACCCGACCTAGCAAATTTCACTTCAGGACTTTACTCATCCGTCAGTGTCATGAAGTGTAACGAGCCACAGGCCAACAGCAGTTGAAATATAAATTTGCTGAGGGGAAGCTAAAAAGTGTGCAACAATAATAAAGACTCTGAACCCCTTCAGTAATGGGATAATTCAGCACAGACATGGTGCAGCACAACTATTACTGCTCCTGAGATCCAAGCAACTGTGTCTATTACAAAGGATTCTGGTGTTGTGAGCTTCAGGGGAACCCCACAGTTTTGCCTCTGCATTTCAAGAAATCATAGCTGGCAAGTTTGGTGAAGAATTCCTAGATGTAGTAAGCCCATCCCACTGCACCAGTGCACGACTGGCCTATAGTGCGCTCTATCAGAAAGAATTACACTACAACAAAATAATAATCATCTGCACTTCTATAGCACCGTCCAGGCCATGATCTCAGAGTGCTTTGCAAGCCCCAGTGAACTGAGCTTAACAACACCCCTGAGAGGTCAGGGGACATTATCACCATTTTACAGATAAGAAAACTGAGGCCTGGAAAGGTTAAGTGCCTGATTTTCACTGACTTCAATGGGAGCTGTGCGTGCTCAGCACCTCCTGAAATTAGGCCATAAATGACATGCCCAAGTTCATGCAGGAAATCTGCAGCAGAGCCAGAAACAGAACCCAGATCTCCAAAACCATGCTCTGAAGCGTCCCCAGCCTCTGTTTGCCAGAAGCTGGAAATGGGCGACAGAGGATGAATCACTTGATTACCTGTTCTGTTCATTCCCTCTGGGGCACCTGGCATTGGCCACTGTCGGAAGACAAGATACTGGGCTAGATGGACCACTGGTCTGACCCAGTATGGCCATTTTTATGACTCCTAGATCTGTACTTAAGCCACAAGATTCCCCTTCCATATTCTGCACTGATGAGTAGGATGCATTGCCTTGCAGCCCCACTCTCTGTGCCAAAATCCAGCGCTTCCTATTAATCAGAAATGCCATTACTTCAGCAGATAAACGTTCCTTACATCTTCCGAGTGCAGGATGGCATCTTCTTGCATCACCATGTTTCTAGCAGCATGACCCAGGAGCTGAAAAACAAACACACAAACTGCAGTCAGAAGTCCCAGGCCACCGGGGATTTCTTGTGGCTGCCACTCAACAGATATGCACACAGAATTGATTGAATTGGGAATTCACTTCATTGGGTTTCTTTTGGAATTAACTCTGCAACGATCATTCCTTGGATGAAACAGACTAGCAGAGAACTGGGTTTCCAGCAGCAGCTTTCATGAAAGAGGTAACAATGCGTTTTACAGTGAGATATGGTGTCAGCAGTGACAGTGATGGTGTAGGCAAGTGCAGTCAAGAATGGTTCTGCGGTAAAAACCTGTTTTACTAGATAGGGGGCGCGCTGGACTTGGGGATCTGCCATCTCAGGGTCCGGAAGTATTTTCCTCTCCCTAACTTTTGGGATTTGAGGAAGGCCACGCTCCAGGTCTCCAATGCGCTGGCCAGCTCTGGAGAGGATTTCCAGAGGTTAAGACTGTACATGTGCATTCTGAGTCAGCGCCCCACACCCACATCAGGTTCTCATTCATCCCCTGTGCCGTGTCCACACAGCAGATTATGCTCGGACCAAGGAGGGGGCAGAGTGACTGCTCCCGGGCCGAAGGCTCCAGGTCAAGGCCTGTATCAAACACACACGAGCTGTATTCATCCAGAGCCCCCCTAGGATGTTTTGCTGGGAGATTTTAGTTACACTCGACCCCTCCGATTGGGATGGGTGGCTGGGGCAGCCCCATCAGGCTCAGGGGTGCTCCACTGAGGGGGCACGACTGGGCGCAGCTCGCCAGGGGACACCCGCTGGGTCCCAATCTGCTGCAGGGATGCCAAGGGTGCTCGGAGCGCAGCGGGGGGAAGAGACCAGGGAGGGGAGGAGCAGGTCGCTCCCCCACCCCAGCCAGACCTCAGTCCCCTTCTCAGGCTGGGGGGAGGGCAGGGAGAGGCTGGGGGGGAGGCCTTGGGCAAGGGCAGTTCCCAGCATGCACTGCTCCGCCCAAGCCCCGCTGGGAGCGTCCCCCAGCGTGGGCAGCACAAGGCAATGACGTGACGTTTTGACCCTGCTCCAGCTGGACCCAGAGACCACAAGCCCTGCCCCCCACACGGAGCATTTCCCCGGCCGGACTACACTTCCCAGCACACCCCGCGGCTGGCGCGCTGCATGCTGGGTGTTGTAGTCCCGGCGGCGGGCCCTCACCTCGGAGCTCCGCGAGCCTTTCAGCACCTGCTTGGTGAGGGCGATCACGTCGGTGCCGCAGCCGGTCACCCTGTCGATCAGCAGCCCCTTCACCGAGCGGCCGAACCGCGCCTGGGCATCGGCCGCGCTCCCCGCCGGAGCCGCCGCCATCTTGGGGCTGCCACAGCCTGCGCCCCGCCCCCTCAAGGCCGGGCGACGGCAAGCGCCGGAGGACAGACTAGAGGGGAAGGCGAAGCAGGGTCTGGGCGCCTCCTGGCTCCAGCCTGGCCATGGGGATGGGGCTGCCCTGCCAGGGATCGGTGGCACCAGCCCCCAGAGGGGTTCTGCCTGGTGGTACAGGTCTCTGCAGCAGGGGCAGTGAGCCTTGCAGTGAGGGGCACATGGCCCTGGTTAGTGACCCCTCGTGGGGTCCCATGGGCACCCCGCCCTGGGCGAGCTCCTAGGCCACATGTTTTGTTTGGAGGGGAGAGGGTTTGCCAACCCCCTGCACTATTCAAGCACAGTTTCCTTGCAGAATCCTCACTATGGCAGCCAGGGCACAGCACGATTTCAGCCTGATCCCTCCCAGGTCCTGTCTGGGAGAGGATACATTGTTGCTCCCCTTTCCTCTTACCCCACCACCCCACTCCCTTGCAGTGATCCAGGTTTCTGGGGCAGCTGCTCCTAACGACTCAGTCATCTGGGGATGTACAATCTCCGATCATACCCTGGCCATTTCAAACAAGCTGTTTCTCAGCCCCAACCCCTCCACGTGATTTTTGGCAGCATGTTGTCAGTGTGGTGGGGAAATCGAGGAAGGGCTGGGGGGGGGGGGCAATGTTCTGCAGCCGCAGGTTTAATAATGAGCCCTCTGCAGTGCCAGACGTGCGCTGAGCCACAGGCAAGGAGCCTCAACCCCCCAACACACAACTTCTCCGCTCAGTGTTCTCAAACCAGGGCAGGCAACAACAAAGGGGCACTTCCCAGCCCTAGTGGGGCCCTGCCACAGAAATAGGCAGCATCCTCTGGTGGGAACACTGACCTGATCCCCCACCCTATACGACCCTGCGCTTTCCAATGGCCATGTGGGACTATGGGGCAACTTCAAAAATCAGGGCCAGCTGTGGGATGTCCTGCACAGCCAGGGGCACTTGAGAGGTATGCCCGGTGGCTGTGCCCTTCCTGTTGATCCCAACCAGCTGGCAGTGCTGAGCCCAGCTCAGAGGCTGGGTCAAGCATGCACAGTGTCTGTCAGATGCTTAGTTTTATGGTCCCCAGTTGCAGGGATCTTGTCTGTGGGGGTGGGAACAGGGTACGGGTAATGCTCAAATTCCTGCCTTGGCAACTTTGTTTACAACCATGCAGCTAATTTGCCCTAGCTGGATGATTTGCAATCAAACACCTCTGCTGTCTTTAAAATAAAGGCACCTGTGACAGCAGCCCGGCACGTGCCAGGATGAGCAACACTAAAATAACAACCCTCTGGCCTCAGCCCAGCCCTCCTGATTGACCCTGTGCTAACAAGCAAGTGTGTGCAGTGCAGCAGAGCCAGCCAATCCAACCCTACAATAACAAAACTGCCTGGAGAGCCAATGACCTGTATGTGCCCGGCTGTTGGTTACTTCGCTTCTCGTTGATTACTAAGGTTTGTCTACACCACAGGCAGGGCCGGCTCCGAGCGCAGCAAGCAGGTGTTTGGGGCGGCCAACGGAAAGGGGCGGCACGTCCGGCTCTTCGGCGGCAATTCAGTGGCGGGTCCCTCAGTCCCTCTCGGAGGGAAGGACCTGCCGCCGAAGAATGAAGCAGCATGGTGGGGCTGCCGCCAAAGTGCCGCCGATCGCCATCGCGGCTTTCTCCCCCCCACCCCCCCGCCACCACTTGGGGCCACAAAAACCCTGGAGCCGGCCCTGACTACAGGGGCTAGAGCCTCGATACATAGCTATGTCAGTGTAACCTGTAGTGTAGATGCTGCCTATACTGATAGAAGGGTCTTTTCTGTCACTGCCAGAAAACCACCTCTCCTGTCCCAGCAATGATAGCTAGGTCGAAGGACGCATCCTTTCGTCAACCTAGCTGCATCTACAAGCTCAGCTTTGCTACACCGGTCAGCGGCATGGATTTTTCACACCCCTGAGAGCCATGGCTATGCTGACCTAAACTCTAAGCCTAGGCCAGGCCTCAGTGTGCACAGGAAAAATTCAAAGCGTCCACTTCACTTCAGAACGATAACAATGCTTCTTATTTACTTTTCATCATAGGATCTCAAAGTGATTTACAGACACTAGGGAATCGGTCGTCCCCCAACAGGCAGGGGAGTATAATTAACTCCATTTTGCAGATGGGTAAACAGGCCCAAAAGGGCTAAGTGACTTGCCCCAATTCACATAGCAAGTCAGTGGCAAAGTTGACCATGGAACCCGAGTCTTAGCTCCCAGATCCCTGCACTGCCCACTTGCCAACACTCCTTTGATATTATAACCTTCGCCCCTAGCTTTCACTTCTTGAGATTGCTCTTCTTACACCGCCTTGGGAAAGACATCGCTGGTCTTGGCCCAGGGAAACACGTCATCTTTGTACTTGTAAATAAACTGCTTCCTGGCTGCTTTAAAGGCAGGATGACTGCTAATATACTACCAGTGTACTGCTGCTAATATAACATTTTGCACTGCTATAGCTCTTGAGAGTCTCAAAGGAGATTACAGTAGATGATCACGTGCCTCAGAGCTCCCCTCACTCATTCTCATGGGTAAGTCTTATCCTTTTTATTTGGGGGAAACTGAGGCACAATGCAGACATACATCCCCGCACCTGCATTGTCATTTGCATTACTTCCCCTCCCACTGCCCCCGTCTCATTCCCCCAAGTAGTAGCTTTACAAACCCTCGGAAAAGTAACTGACTTTGTCCACTTCTTCAAGCCCACTCTGCTAAATCTGTCCCCAAGGGTACAGTGGAAATCAGGCAGCATCAGAGAGAGAACTCGGAGCTCGGCCAACACGACAAGCCCTTAATTGCAGCACACGTGGTTTATCTGCGCTCTGGAACATACCGTCTTGTCCGTGTCATTTAAGCGTTCGCTCCGAGCACTGTCCTGGCCATTACCTTGAGGAGTTCAAGGGAACCCAGCCACTGAGGACAGCTGTCGAGGCCACCAGAATGGAAAAGGAGGGATGCTAGGAAGCTGGGACAGCATCGGCCTTCCCGACGGCAGCTGGAAGGATGTCATGGAGTCTTGGCTCCATGGCAAAAAGGAAACTGACCAGACTTAAACCAGATGTAAACCCAAGCAGCCTCAGCAAGATGCCCATTGTAAAGGGGCAGCTAGTCATTCATAGAACCACAGGGTGAGAAGGGACCACAAAGGTCATCTAGTCTAACCGCCTGCCAAGATGTCAGATTTGTTGTGGCTAAACCATCCAAGACAGATGGCTCCAGCCTCCTTTTGAAAACCTCCAGTGAAGAAGCTTCCACAACCTCCCTAGGCAGCCTGTTCCATTGTCCTACTATTCTTACAGTTAGGAAGTTTTTCCTGAGATTTAATCTGCCATTCCGTAGTTTGAACCCACTGCCCTTCGTCCTGCCCGTTTACGCAGTAGCAATAATATTCATAAAAATACGCTGCCCTTCTACAGAACTTTCCATCCCACCATCTCAGACTGCTCCACAAGTTAATTAGACTGCACAATACCCCTGTGGATGTATGTTCCTCACTCTCCAATCTTAGAGCAGTTCCCTTTCATGGTGACGGCTGGATCCTGCCATTAAACCCAGTAGGTAGGAAACTGTTCTCCAGAAGCCCCCCTTTGAGCCCCAATGAATTGTAACCCTGCGTGGCAGCAGAGCGGTGTCGGCTTCATTCACGCCAGGCTGGGTTCATTTCCCACGAGCAGCGGGAGAAGACGCACTCACGGTACATGTACACCCTACCCCGAGACTGAGCCAGAAAACAAAGCGCTGCTTTATCACATAGCTCATAAGCTGCAAAAAAGCAAAGGTGAAGCCATACTTAACCACAGCACTACTCCGCGCCCCAGCCCGCCTCTTCCCAGAGAACACGCAGCCCGCGGCTGCCCTCTGTCACAGAGGGCCGGTTGAAGAATGGGTACGAAGTTTTGGAGGCAAATTTCTCGGGTTAATTCACTCCCTCCCCAGGTGCCGTGGGACGTGTGCGGAGCACTCAGAATGCCTGCAGGTGGTCGCGGCGCCAGCTAACGAGGCCCTCCGGTGCTCTCGGTGGACTCAGAGAAGGGAACGTGCATGAGGCAGGCAATAAAGTTGCCTCATGTCTCAGACTTGGGGTCCAAATTCTGCTCTGAGGTAAATCCCTTGCGACGCCATTTTGTTCGGCAGAGGCTCTCCACATCTGCACCCATGTACCTGAGAGCCGCACCTGGCCCTCGGGGCTTCCTTTGGGCTGGGGGGATCCCCTAAGCTAGAGCGGGCTGGTGCTTTTTCTCCCACATGTTGTCTAACCTGTGGGGAATCAGTGCAAACGGAATCCACATTCATTGCTAAAGATTCAGGGAGGCCCACCTCTTTCAAGCCACCTTTCAAGAGGACTCCCACTGCCACAGGAAACTCGGGTGACCAGATGTCCTGATTTTATAGGGACAGTCCCGATTTTTGAGTCTTTTTCTTATATAGGCTCCTATTACCCCCCACCCCCGTCCCGATTTTTCACATTTGCTGCCTGGTCACCCTACAGGAAACCTCACCACGTGGGGTCCTGCCCCGCTCCATCCTCTGCCTTGGCTCTTCTTCCAGATGGAGATCTGTCTCCCCCAGTAGCGTAGCTAGGGGGGTTCAGGGGAAGCAGCCGCTTCCCGTCAGTACATTTTTCAAAAGCGGCGCCTGCCGGGCTGCCGCTGGGGTCCTGCAGGCAAGTGCGGGGGCAGCATGGCCGGACTCCGGAGGAGCCATTGGGGGGGGGGCGGCGGGCGCAGCCAGAGGAGCGAAGGGGCCGGCTCCTCGGCCATCGCGCCCCACGCGGCCCCAACATCGCCGCTGCAGCCGCCTCCTGCGGCGGCTCAGGGCTCGGCGGCCGAGCGCTCCGCAGTTGGCGGGCAGATCCCCTCTCCCCGGCAGCTCCCTGCTGCCGGGCCGAGGGAAGCAGGAAGCTGCCGGGGAGAGGGGATCTGCCCGCCAGCTGCTGCCCGCCCCACTGCTCCGCTCCCCCCAACCCCCGGGAGAAGCGAGCAGTGCCCGCCCGCCACCCCTTCCCCCTTCCCCCCCGAGAGGGGGCACAGCATGGCCGCAGCGTAGCCAGAGGAGCCAAGGGGGGGGGGGGGAGGGGCTGGGGAGGGAGCCAGGGGGGGGGGTGGCGGGCCGAGGAGCCACGAAGGGGGGGGCGCCTTTTTTATGTTTGCTCCCCCTGCACTGAGAAGC